ATGTACCTACCTTTCCACAAATATTCCAGTTTATTTATTATTATTGTCTTTCACGAGAAAGAGACAGAGAGAAAGGTAAGTACCCTTGACATAGCCTTACACTGTGACCTCCCCCGCCCCTGTCTTTCCTAGCCTCCAGGATCGCAGGTGAGTGCTTGAGCCAATGTGTGTAGGTCAGCCTCGGGAATTGAACCCTGATCTTCCATATAGCTTTAAGCATTGCAGAGTGTTTCACTTCTGCTGTGCCACCATGGCTGGGCTTCCCCAAGTCTTTATTTCAAGTGATCCCAAAGGATGCATGTTTTCTCTGTGCAAGAAGCCCAGGTCTGTTTTTTAAGAGTGTTCATTCTCACTAGTAACTTCAATGGAAATCCAGCTTTCACCACGGGCTGGAGCAGCCAGAGATGGCTCTGTGAGCCTGGAGAAATGGCTGCCCTCTGGCAGGTGTCAGGTCTAACTGCACTTCTAACACCGATTTACGCCATCATCATTCCTTGATGTTTTATTTTTATTTATTTTGTTGTATGGCCAGAGGGTGTGTGTGTTGGCCAGAGAGAGGCAAAGAGAAAGCAAGAGGGAGGGACAGAAAGCACCCTCTGCAGGGACGTGGTTATGCCACAAGCCATTCTCTTCCATTTCTTGGCCCTATGGGGATGTGGGGTGTGTCTACATATGTAGCCAGTGTGATTTTTGTTTTCAAGCTGCTGGGACCTAGACCTGAACTGTGGTCAGCCATGTGGGGTCTGGTTTGGCCACTAAGCTGTGGGGCAGTTCCCCCTGACATTTTCTTCTTCTTCTTTTTTTTTTTTTTAAAGAGAGATTCTTGCTATAGGGCGCATGTGCTCGCTGGAGAGACATAGAGACAGAAAGTGAGAAATCACTTCCCAGGGGGGATGATCATGCTGCAGTCCCTTTTCCTCTTTTCTGGAGCGGTGTCGGGCACGCATGCACACACACACACACACACACACACACACACCCTGTGTGAGTTTTAAGCTGCTGGGTCTGGAACTCGAACCATGGTCAACTACATGGGAGTCTAGCAACATAACCATTACACTATCTGCTGGTCCCCCCCTGACATTTTCAAAAGTAGTCTTTAACCAGTTTTCAGAGCTCATTAGCTTAAATTAATGGAACTCATATAGTTCTTCTGGGAGAGGAGGAATGGGAATGGATTTCTTTCAGTTCAGCTAAACTGCAAGAAATCTGATTTTATCCAGATGATGTCTGAATAAAATCTAGTGAGTAACCCTCTGTGCAATGCTGTAGCTTGAATGTGGATTTGAAGATAACACTTAGTGGGTTAACTGAAAGAAAATAGTTTTTGATACTGTACCTCTGGCCCAACACTTAAGGACTGTGAACTTCTGTTAAAAGCAAAAGTTCTGGGACCAGCAGTTAGCATAATGGCTATGTCACTGAACTCTCATGTAGCTGACCACGGTTCGAGTCTCGGACCCAGTGACTTAAACTCACGCCGGGTGCGTGTGCATGCATGCCCAAGATCCCGAGAGGAGAATGGAGGAGAAGGGATTGCGGTGTGGCCATCACCCCTGGGGGTTGATTTCTCGCTTTCTATCTCTCTCTGTCTTTCTGGAAAGCGCACGCACCCTATAGTAAAAAAAAAGAAAACAAAACAAAAAAACAAAACAACGCCCCCCCACACACAAAAAAAGCAAAAGTTCTAAGGTAAGCTTTCTTAGATGTGCTTATTATCATTATTAATATTACTATAATAGTAAAAGTAGTGGTAGTAAAAACCATCATTTGGTACTTATGCTAGGTAGGCATTGTACAAGTGTTTTAATTTTAATAAATGATACTCCCTTTATAAGGAGGATGTTATCATCATTCCCACGTGATGTATGGGGAAATCGAGGCTCACAGAGGTGGCATAATTGCCCCAGATCATAGA